CTGAACTTTAGAATCTTGTGAAGCCGAGCTATTGGTTTTACTTGCTTTCTTGGAGGTTCTATTATACATTGTCTACTGAAGAGGTTTGCTTCTGATGGCCCAGTCTCTTCATGATCCACTGGTGCAGCTTCTGTAAAGAGAAATCCAAGCATATATAGTTAGCACACCCAATTCAGTTTCCTTAAAAAAAAAAAGGGAAAAAGGAAAGAAAAAACAAGCACAAGAAATCCTAGTACAGTGCTGTATCCATCATGCGAGGAAGACAAACAGAAACATAAAAAACTGAAAATTCATTTTGGCATTAGTTTCTAACTGGTAAAAAGGAAACGTTTCAGGATGCACAGAAAACACTTGGCTGACAGTCAGTAATATGCAGTGAAACAGTGTATGACAAGTTGGGAGGGAGAAATCAATCCCAAACTAATCAGGACGGTGTAATAGACATCTTCCACTATCTCACAAATCCAAGCATGGCATATGTCAAGATTCGTGTAACTAAGAACGGAAAAGAATGAGTCTCATACAAGGCAAAAAAAATACACCACCCTCAGCTTCAAATGGCAGATGAGCTTACTGAAAAAAAATCTCGGTGTTGTGGCTCTAGTCCCATTGATATCAGATAAGCTTAATAGAAAAAGAAACACAACTCACCATCTTCAGAGAAGACAAAGCAAGTCCCAGTTATTTCTTCATATTCTCCGATCTGTAAAAGGTAAAGAATATAAACCAAGAAGACCAAATTCAAGTCCCAGTTGAAATGGAATTCAATGCAGTGTATTATCAAAATGAAAGACAATGGATCACAATCAAAACTATTAGAATTCCATCATACGCACTTTTTAAACCAGAGACTGAGTGCAAGTTTCAAACAAAGCCAAGAAACGTTGAAACATTAGATAAACTTTTGATTCTCAGAAATTTGAACTGTATTAGCAAACATGGTAAAAAGTTAAACGGACAGACAACTGGAAATCCCAGGATCTAGAGCTTATAGACAGAACATATGGGGCCTTTGCTGGGATGTCAACTAGTCCAGAAACAGCATCAAGGTCAAGCAATACGTACTCTTCTACATCCTCCTGATAAACATCATGCTTCATCAAATTTTCAGCCATTACAGACCAACTTACAAATGCAAAGGGTATCTGCCAAATGAATAAAAAATTCGAACTTACTCGAATCCAAAGAACACTTCCGAGCACATTAATCAACATGTATAAAGTTGACTTCTTCGAGCCCCTTTATCAACATGCTTAACTCCAGAGGAAGCAAATGCATAATCAAAAAATTGATTTCAACGACGAAGCACTTTTTTTATCCGGTAGGAAGTATTGAAATTATTAAAATATTTTTAATAAAATTGTCCTTTATATTAATTTATTAACGAGTTTTTGATAATTTTAGTAAATAAATTACACAAAAAAATGCAGTCTTTATTAAAAAAACACTTCTATAGTATTCCTGATTTGAGACCAAAATTTCAAGTCTTGAAATCAAATTTTTTTTTTTTATCTTGTATTGTTTTTTTTTTTTTTTTTGTATTAATCCCTCACTATCTAGAAGTCATATTGAGTTTTGATTAATCCGGAGTTAGCAGAGTTGGACCCTACATGGGGGAAGCTTTCCCAGCACATGTTTTTTCATTCACAATACTCGAACTTGAGATCTTATTTAAGAGAAACTGAACTCCTTTCACTGAGATCAACAAGTCGTTAATTTTATCTTATATTGTTGAATAAGAAGTAACTTCTCTTATTTCTTAATTCATGCCATTTATATATTATCTTATTTAAATTTAAAATTTTTTATTTTCATTAAAAAAATTATCATTAAATTATTTAAATTATTAATATCTTGAAATTAAAATTTTTTTATCTTGTATTATATAATAAAAGACAATTTCTTTTATTATTTAACCCATATCACTTGTATGCTATTTGATTTAAATTTAAAACATTTTGCTTTCATTAAAAAAAATCACCATTAAATTATTTAAATTATTAGGATATTGAAATCAAAATTTAAAACCCAACCCAAAGAAACTAAAACAAAAAAAAAAAAGAAGTAAAAACTGAGACTGAAACCCAATATTATAAAATAAAGACCACTAAAGCCCGGATATTTTATTTTTTATGTTCAATGTTAAAAGTTTTGTGTAAAAATTAATCTTTTCTAGTATCACATACCTGGAAACAAAAAAAAAAAAAAAAAATAAAGAAAAGGATCCCTGATAAATAAAGCCAAAAAAAAAACTGAAAAAGTTAACCAGTGATAAGTATAGTAATTGAACTTTTTTTAACAATAAAAAAAGAAAAGCAGGAAATTTACCTTATCTCAACAGAAAAACAGCTCTTTATAAAAGGAGGGTGGTGCCGAATAACTCTGGAATGAGGGGGCGCAATGTGCAAACGGCCCTTAATTTGCTTTTTGGGTTTTTTGCCCTTCCCAGCATATAAAGTTAAAAAATAAATAGATAAAATAAATAAAATAAACACGCTATTGAGTTTTTTTTTTTCAAATAAAATTATATAAAAAGTAATAAAAATTTATTCTTAAATTGTTTTTTAATATTTTTAAATGTCATCTTTCTCCTATCAAGAAACGGGACATGTAGGCAGTTTTTAATCGGAGGGTTCAACTTAGAGCCAAAATACTAATTTTTAGAGGATAAATCAGAGATATTTTTAATTGAAAGATCAATTCAAAAAGTTTATACAATAATTGAGGGACTAAGTTGGGTTTTA